TAGTTGTCGTGTTCGTTGTTTTACAAAAGATGATAGGTGTTCTTTACAAGAGTAATAAGTTTCAGCAAACTTTGACTGGTATCACTTCACAGCTGCACAAGATTTCACAAATTTACCTTGATGGCTCGAGATAATGGGAAGCAACGAAAGTGCAAATCGCCCCTTCCGTCGCCTAGCTGTGCCCACTTGCAGATAAGGTCAAAAGAATCCAAACGACTGGTCAAGATTCGAAAAAAAGGACAAAATGGTGCTAAAATGACTCTGGTGCCACTTCGCCAAGCTTGACGGGAGTTTACAGGGTACTTGACACGTATTTGCAGGATTTGCTGGTTGGGACACGATTGTGAAAAGACAAAAGATAGAATAAAGAACAAAAACGAAAACACACTTCGAAAAAGCTAACAGATGTGGAGGTACCCCCCCTTCCCCCTCCACCCCCTCCGAAGTTATAGCGTCGTTGAATGTATTAATTTCTTTTTCATTACGAGCTACTCATCTATGCATTTCATCAAAATAAGACTTGTCCTTCAATTAGGGTGAAAGAATATTCAACATAAGACACAATGGGTCACAAACGGTCTCGGGTTGTTTACTGGTTTAGATCAAAGCAAAATATGAAAGAGAAAAGACTAGTTACAGCTGTACTCTCCGAATACAACTGCCAGAATGCCAAGCCTGGTTTATGGAATATTCAGTGTCTTCCGAGAAACTTAGTAGATTCCTACAAAATCTAGAAAGGGATTTGAATTGCTAGTTCGTCACTTTCTTTGACATGTGTGATTAAATGAAAACTTCGAAACCCAGCGTCAACAAATGTTTTGGCATCACTGCTGCACCCGTATTAGCATATAAAGACACAGAAGTTTCAGGTTGAATCAATACAACTTTTCAAGCCAACTCACGAAAGAATTAACAATATAAAGCTTTAATAATACAAGGAACGTATGTTTTATGTGCCGTCCATCTTCACTGTTCACCTTTGTGCACCCTTCCGTCAAACACGCAGTACGTGCAATAGTGTAAAACGGATGTGACACGGAAAAAGACGACAGGTTCCAAGGAGATATTGCTATAGGATTTTTCTGGGACTTCCTTAGTATAACTTTTCGAAGGAAATAATCTCACGAGCCAGTAACATGTAATTTTGGCACAAATCCGGCGTCAACATGGGAAATAGCTCGGATAAATGGGGATGAGAGAAACTTGAGCCCCTCCGTTGAGCACGCCGTTCCAGGTCAATTCATGAGCTGGCTGGTTCGTCAGAGTTTATTTTCATGATTATTCCTACCCAGTAGAATAATACATGAGAGTTCAATAAAGCGACTACTACATAGAATCGCCGTGAAAAGGTAAATTGCGATAATATGATGTTGACCTGGGAGTTGATCAATAACCGATCAATAGTTTGGATGTGGCTGCTATTAGTACGCTACCTGGGTAGGTTCCTTGGTCACAAAGAAAACAAGCTCACGAAGTGCGTTGTGAAAGGCTGCTCAGATCCGTAGCTCATCAGGCGTTGTTAGAGGACGAGCACCATTGGTTCCGTAGTGTAGCGTTAATCACCCGGACTGTTGAATCCAGTAACGCGAGTTTCGCATCTCGCCGGACACCTGAGTATTGGCAAATTGTTGGGTTGATCAGCAATTCGCTATTCAAGATCGCATGTAACGCTAAACCAGGCTTTTAATTAGAAATTCGCCCGGAAAACATTTTTTCTTGCACGGTTGTGCCTTGCAGACGCTTTGGTTGAAGCGACTATGGTGATGGCGTGGGTTCTTATTGAGGACCTGTTCTTGCATTGTTCTGTTAGAGTGTTCTGATCGCTTTTTGTTAGACTTTACAGCTTAGCCGCATAACACTAGTCTGTAGGAATTAGCAGGTGAGGCGAAATGAGCCCTTTCGGCTGCCCTGCTCTACAAATGGTAATCGGCTCTGGAGGGGGGGAGGGGGTTGGGAAGGGAGATACTTCAACTCTTTTCGAAACCGCCCCGTCTGATTGCGATGTCATGAACTGCAACTCCTACATTCTGGCAGTGAAATAGTAGCACAGGAAAATAAATGACAAGGAAGTAACTTATTCGATAAAAATAATACCTACTGGTCCAAACTAGCTGAATCCTTACAAACAGTAACTGACTGACAGCATCCGCTAATGATCCACGACGGACGCATGGGCGGAGACAACTAACCACTACTGTTTTCCTCATTTTGAGGTAGGAAAAGCACATGGATTACTCGCGCACAAACCTGTAGACTATTCCACATCACATTAGGACAGTCTGGAATGTGAATTTCCTCGACCGAAAACCTCTAGAAATATCTGCTCTCAAACTCCATACCGTATAAGAAGAAAATGAGCGTGAACATAGGGATTGGTTTTGCAAGCGCTCGATCGATATAACTTTCCAAATACATCACTTGACGGTGTGCTGGCCCCAAGGGTGAAAATAGACTTATTGCTAAGATTGTAGGATTGAATTCAACCAGAGGTCGGTGAAGGATGGCTGCGATGTATACTCGCAATCTCCTGATATCGGGGTAGCGGAGGCATTCGTAACACATGTGTAAGAGACAACTTGGTTACTATTGGAATATTCCAGTCTGGGACAACTGTCATCTTGTTCTTTGTTGGACAGACACGACAACGATTGTGTCGAGGCGAAAATATCGCATCAGAAGCGTAAACGCCTTAAGGATAAGTCGAAACATGCGGCCACGCCTACCCGATCTCAGGGATCTCGAGACTCGACGCGAATCTTGCGAGGGAATACATGCCTGTCACTGCACAAGCTTCTAAAAAGTTTACTATACGAAAGTCCTACAGTATGCTGAGACAATCAATCGGAGAACACAGGCTAGTTTGGGCTAGTCGCCGCAACCTGGCTCTACTGACAGGCACCCAATATGTTTATGTTTATTACACCGGGAAACCGTGTGACAGAGTAAAAAAAAACAACAAAAAACACAGCTAGTAGGAAAACAGAATAATAACGAGGTAGCAACAAAAACAACAGAAAATAGGCAAACAACAGATAGAAGCCAGCAACACAGATTGTGAAGAACAAATATGGAGGCGCCATCACGAGACAATGTGACATCAGGATGCGAGATACTTTTCCAGAGTGGCTTCAAAAGATGAAAGCTTTATTGGATGACCTTCCCAAGGAGAGTACCCTATGAAACTCTTGGCAGGTTCGATTGAGGAAAAAATGGTGTCTAACGTTACGTCTAGCTCGCGGGATGGTAATTTTCCTTACCGAGCCCTTAGTAGCAGTTTCATGAATTTCCATCAAGGCGCTAGGCCTAATACCCGAGTAACCGTGAAAGATCTTGAAGAGTGTTATTAAATCAAATTTCCTCCTTCTAAGGGAGAGCGGCTCGAGATTGAGATTGATATTACGCGTTTTATTATCAGGGATCCTGTCATATTGGAATCCCACAGATCTTAAAAAAAACCTTATGGCTCAGATTAGGCAAACGATCTGTCTCCTAAAACCCCTGGACCCTAGTCCAATTAATCATTTTCGTAGTCGCTGTTACAATAGTCGGCGTTACGGCTTCGGAGGGGCATTTTGCAATTTTAGCTACTGTTCATTGCTTTACAAGCGTTGATAGGTATTTCTTACGAGGTTTGACAAGTGGTCTCAACAAACTTTCACTGGCATCACTTTATGGTCTCACAAGAATTCACAGATCTGTACTTGATGGCTCGACACGACGATGGGCATTAGCAAAAGTGCAAAATGATCCCCCCCCCCCCAGCGCCCAATAATCCTTCAAAATAATGCGAAATTCGTGGACCAACCACTCGACAGACAAGCTTTTGATATATTCATTCACAACACGTTTTTATTAAAACATCACCGTAATGCATTAGTTTCGAAATGTAAAACAACAAAAATGATAACCTAGAAAAATGAGATTATGGTTGAGCGATGAATCGCTTTTTGCCCGTACACAAAAAGGTTAAATAATTGGCCAGGAAAATGTGTCCTGGGAACACTAACAAACTGATAAGACACCAAGGCCTTTCTGTACCTAGTTACTGGACTCAAAGGCACACTCCACGTTGGTCGCATGGGCGGAGTTCGGTGATTGTGCCTTCAGAGATACTCCCTTGTTCTCTGCAGACGCTAGGGCGTGTGAAAGGGGCTCGGGCCCAGAGATAAGCGCCAAACGATTCTCCCGGATGTGGAAGTTAGCAACTGGCGAAAAACTAGCTGGCGCGGCGCCAAACCCAGCCCACTTGACACGCCCCAGCGTCCGCAGCGAACAAGACTGTATACCAGTCTCAGATGGCTGGAATACTACTGTAATTGTCGAGATTAATGAAGACCCGATCATGTGCTTTTAGACAAGTTTCCAGTCAAAATGGCCACCATAGCGATCATCGATGGCAGCAAATTCTGTGGCAATATCATCACGCTCGTCCATATCGCCGCGCTGAAAGGAAATGATTAAGTTTTTCAGACTTCAGCTCCCCGCCTCTGCTCTTTCCCAATAGCACGTGTAATAGACATCGATTTGGCACGCATTTTTAGACACATTGCGACACAAATGAGTGTGCGGAGACTTATAGCTATTATGCCTTTCTCGTTCTCGCTCTTCTCCTTCAAACGGTGAAAAGTAGAAGCGCGTCGTTCAGGAAAGCACAATAGTCATGTATCTCCGCCCATTCGATTACCGCGGAATTTTGCTTCGGGGGGCACTCTGCACTTTCGCTGCTTCACTAGTTTCGGTTTACAACTCTCACTCTGGTGACCTATGAACTCTTGTGAAGCTGGAGCAAGCTCGTCTCTGGTGACCTATGAACTCTTGTGAAGCTGGAGCAAGCTCGTCGAGCTGAAGGTGAGAAGTGCTAACTCTTGTAAGCTCATACAACATTTTCTAGATGGCTCGACACGTCGATGGGAAGTAGCAAAAGTGCAAAATCCCCCCCCCCTCCGGTCGCCGAATTGCGCCCTTCAATTGATGTGCAACAATAAAAATGTATGCCAAAATCTGAGTCGTGGACAAACGTTATTCTATAATTATTCTTGGCCGATGAGCAGCTCTCAAGTAGTAAATATATTATTGAAACGATATGGAAGTATCGTTCTGGTCAGTACCGTCATAATCACAACTCACCATAGCAGCTTATACGATTGCGCAAAATAGGATCACGCCAAGAGGGCTAAAGACACTCATTCCGCGATAACAGACTGGGCGGAGACCTGCTACTCTCATCACTGATGCATTCACACTTCTAGTACAGCAAGGATCAGAAGTGCACCAATGAAGAAGCCACAGAGCTTGTGGGTCTCCGCCCACCCGACTACTGCGAAATGTTGCACGCAGTGGATTTTGATATGCATTGAGGACCTACTGGTTGAAGCATAACTCTACAAAATAATTTAGTAGGAAAAATAAACTGACTTCGTGATAATAAAGAGCGATTTCTTGCACCCACAAACTTCTCGAATAAAACCGCTCCTGCCTGACGACATTGCGCACGAGCTTTGTTCAGGTATCTGCAATTGCTCTGAACGATTGCTTTCAACTAAGAACTACACAGGTCGTTGTAAAGCCCCTTTACCGTTACTGTCGCCCGTATGCGAGTGAGCTTCAGCAAGTGCGATGGATAAAATGGCATTCTCCAGAATCGAGCAGGTGCGTATGATTGTCTTTTCGGCATTCCGTCAAGCTTTTCATCGCCAGTTCATAGTCTCCACTCATCATCTGTAAATACTGCATGAATAAGAGGCCGTCGTATGAGCTGGATGCTACATTTCATCGGATAGGGTACTTGGGAAAGGCTTTGTGATTTGCGATGGAGTACCTTGTTCCAAATTTTAGGAAGGAAAATTGTAAGGTAATGGCGCAAAGGCTGCTGCCAGTGACCTTCCTGCCTTCCAGTGAAACTCGTCCGCCTCCAGTCCCGCTTCTAGCGGGAAAAAGCAGCCAAGCATGAAACAGGATAAAGTATCAGCTGACTTCACTCATCCCGCTGTTTTCATCCTTCGAACTCGTAAAGCTGCTCGAGGATAGAGGGTTCCTATCAGAGGCGTCTCCGACGTACTCTTCTGCATTTTTTTTCTTCACAGGTAAGTTCCCTGGCAACCAATTCTTCTTAGTTTGACAACTAAACGTATGTTTACTATTGCGCACCCGTGTCTTAACACCAATTCTGCTCCACGGCCCCCTGATGGCCGCGGGGGGATACAAGGGATAAGCACATTTGTCATTGCTGGACAAGAGAGATACGATGCGGTTACCCCCACATAACTTCTTTTGCCTCCTTGGGTGCTCAATAACAAGTTGCTAGTGAGGTATATGAGCTAAAGCGAACGCGCATTGATAGGAATATCAAATGAAACTGCTGAATAACAGGGTCCTCTTTTGCGCAACTGATTCTGAGCATTGGACGCGGAGAAACATTGAGCGCGCTAGCGAGAGGTCAGATGGCGAAGAGCGAGAAAGCACGAAGCAGTACCCCAAACCACGCCGTTTGGCACACACATTAAAGTGGAGGCGCAGTTCGGCTTGGTGAGGGTAGCAAATGGCACTCAGCGAGGCCTGTACAGGCCATCTTACAAACACTTGCGAATTCTTGTTACCAACATGGCTCACTTGTAGTATTTCTCCTCTTCACAAGAGTTTATATAGTCGCGGAAAAAAACTTGAAACAAGCTTTGTAAAGGCATTTTCATTTGTTCTAAGCTATCTAATCTCTTCTTATACACCAGTATTAGGGTCAGAAGCTAAAATATAATGTTATAACACAATAATATTAAAATTTTGGGTAAGTGGAGATAGTGTAGTGGCAAGTGGCGCCACTTACCACAAGCGTGGTCTGGGGTTCAAAGCCCGGATCGGCTCCCGCCTGAACCAACCGAGTTTTTCGTGCCTGCGGGGAAAGCTAATTAGTAGTAAACTCGTCTAAGAAGATAAAAAAGTCGACTCCTACATTGGCAGCCCTCACCCCACCCGCAGGTCCCCCCCCCCCTTCCTCAAAGTGCCTCATCGCCGTAATCTTCAAAATTCTGTCCCTGCAACGAATTCAATCAACCAACTCTCTTCTTTAGAGTAGCTTTTTTAGGAGTACTTGATTTGAGCAAACAACTTTTTCATCACAATTTAAAACTTTTAAGTAAAGCTATTAAGAAGCGCGCAACTTGGGCTTGTTCCAAGTTTTCTTTTCCGCGAATGTAGGTGTCATCACAGTGAGATCTGACAGTTAACATGCAGCAACAAAACAAACTATCGAATTGCCCCTACCAAGCCGAACAGCGCCAGCCAAAGCGAGGTTATCGAAGGCATGTCGCCAGGCGCGCTCCATAATTTCAACGCATTTTTCAATAGTGCGCTGTAGT